AAAAAATGTATTTATTTATTTTCAAAATAAGCACTCAGAGTTACTGGGAGTTGGGCACTGGAAGTCAGGTGGCATATAAATTTAATAAATTATTATTATGGTTGGTCACACAGTCAGCCAGATGTTTAGACTGGATTTGGCATTTTTTTCTACTGAGTCCTCCCAAGAACCCGGGGTAGGCAGATGTTGTTTGAGGGTGTTCAAGAGTTTCCCAACCTTTCTGGCTGTGCGGACTGGCAGTGGAATGGGAGAGGGGATGGTTCCATGCGAACCGTGGGCAAGCATGCTCACACAGCTCCATTTGTATGCACAAGGGGCACACACACACCCCGCCTCTCACATCAATGGACCGTGCATGCATGTGCTTACCTGCTGCTCACGCAAATGAGGACGTGCGACATGCACGCTCGCCCAACACTTACGGAGCCGGATTCCAAACGGCTGAAGGCCCGGTAGTGGGCCGCAGCCCGGGGTTGGGGTCCCCTGTGTTAAAAGTTAGGGTTAGGGAAGCTGCCTTTGCAATTGATTGGTGTGGATTTTGTCAATGCCAGTGGTGTCCAAATGGTGCTCGGGATATTTTGGGATGACACCTAAGGCGTATATTGGTGCTTTGCTTTTTTTGCCAGTTGTTTTCCTTCTATTTGTAGGTCTTTAAGTTTTGTGATTTTCTCTGGTTCTTTCTCTTCTCTTCTGCTGTCTCTAGGTACCGCCATGTCCCCTACCCAAACTTTTCTGTTTTCTTCTCAGTAATTCTAAAGTTTGCATTGTTTTGTAGCAGATGCTGTTTGAATTTTAAAGTCCCAGACCACTATTTTCATGTTTTATTACTTTGTCTATTTTGTGATCCCACCAGTTCTTGCTTGCAGACAAATGGCATTTCTTGCAGATCTTGTAATATTGGTAGTGTGCCATGCCATTGTTTGCGCTCAGGCTGCACGATCCCTTTGCAGCAGCTAACTAGATGATCCAGTTTCTTCGGCTTCTTTGCAGAGGCACCATTTCCTGTCTGTTGTGCTCATCTCAATTCTGGCTGCTGTGCATTTGTTCTTAAGGCTTAGTCTTGGGCAGCCAGAATTATCTCCTCTGACTCTTTCTTCAACTGTCCTCTTCTTAGCCATTGCCAGTAATAAGCCATTTTCTTATTATTACATGCTTTGCCTGCTAGTTTTTTTAAAGTAGCGGCCATGTGACTTTTCCATTCTTCCATTGGTCCATTACAGACCAGCCTGGTCTCTCCAGTGCTTGCTGAGCCTTCCCGGTGTACTCGTTTCACTGCATCTTCTTCACTGTCCTTCAGAGATCCTCCCAGTGCCCTTTTTACTTGCAACATTCCATGCCCACTTATTTTCCTTGGTAAGTAAAGTCTGCCAACCCCTAATGTGTGAACGAAGGGCATGATTCCTTGCCATTGTTTTTCTGGCCTTCCTATCCAGGGCCTTTAGTTCTGCTTGAGTCCAGTCTACTATTCCAGCTGTGAAACGGGGATTCTGTTTCAGGTGATGTTTTTCCTTACAGCTTCAGCTCATCCACGTAAAGGAGGTGGGAGAGTCTGACAGAGGTTTTTGATGTTTGATATCCATGGCCTAATTTGTTCAGTATTGTTCAAAGAGGAACCAGTGCAATGACAAATAATATTTGGTCCTAATGAATCTCCTTGAAAGATTCCTCTCTTGATATTAACTTCTCCCAGTCTATCATAATTGACCAGCAACCCTGTCTTCCGTTGTGCCATCGATCTCTGCACAAAGCTTCTGATGTTTCTACTGACTGTTATTATTTCCAGGCATTTGATTATCCAATCACGTGCCAAGGAGCCGAATGCCTTCTTGTAAGTGCTCTTCAGTTCAGAAGGACAGAAACGGAGGCTCTGTACTGACCCCCACGAATTTTAGCACATGACAAGCCAGCAACAAAGGCTGGTGGGGCTAAATACTAGAGCCACGGGGTCTCCCACACATTGCCCCCCTCTGGGATGCATCACCATTTCACCGCTCCGATTGCCTCGGGTGTCAGAGGCCCAGAGCTTCGAAACAGGAGCAGGGACAGGGCCACCCTTCTCAAACATATTTCAAGGGGAAAGGACAAGAGCCCCTTCTATTCCACATCAGCCAACGGACCATGCCTGGTCATGAGCTGTTATCTTCGTAGTTCAAATAAATAAGAATCCCCACTGATCCCAGCCCTCATTCAAGCATGGAACATGCATACTTGCCTTCCAGGTGACCTGGATGCTTTGGGATGTCATTGGCTGCAAGGTGACATCCAGTGGGGGACCATCAGGAGCTGAAAGAGTGGAAGTCACATTACATGTTGCACAGACAAATTCTTTCTTTGTTCCCAGTTCTTGAAAGGTATCAAAAAGAAGCGCCTGAATGTAATGCGTTTCTGACAGTGGCTTTCCATGCCCGTGGCTCATGCCTTTGAAATGCCAAGGGAACCAGGCCCAGTGGAAGGGGATTAGGCATCTGTTTTACAAGCTTCAGAGGTGGCACCAGTTGCTATAGCTTGCTGGGAAGGGGGTAGGGTGGAGAGAGAAAGGCTGATAGTGAAGGCAGCAAGCGACAGAGCGACTATAAAACTCACAAAGTTCTTCAGTTTAAAGGGTAAACCTCCGATAATGCTATAAATTACACTGAAAAATAATTATTCTGTGGCATTTTAGAAGACAGACCTGTTTATTTTGATACGAGGCATTTCATCAGATAAATTCCACTGAACCAATGTTTTCCTTGTGCAACATACTAGGCAAGCTTTTAAAGGACAGATTAGCCCAGCTGGCCCACCGCTCAGCTCAAGAAGGGAGCTTCCTGACCGGACCCAAGAAAACAAGCAAATGGCTTTTGCCCCAAGGAACAAGGACTTCTGCCAATCTGGTAAGGACATGTGCACTCACACACACATTGTTGCCACAGACACTTAAGCACACACACACACACACACAAACACAAATATTGTCTATGGAGCTGAGACTTTTAGGCGAAAAAGACTCTTGGGCAAAAAAAAGGATGGGGGCAAAGAAGAAAAAGGGTCTTAAACACAGACAATTGTGTGTTCTCAACCTTCCTGACTTCCTCTTTCTCACACTTTGCCCATCGCCCAGTTTTTTTCATAAATTATCTTGTGGCTACAGCCCTGAGGCAGATGGGCACCTGCTTCCTCCGTGCTGATGGTCAGATCCTTGCTCGGCTCACTGCGGCCAATCTTGTTGAATGAAAACATGCGGATGCTGTATACAGAGGCTGGGTGAAGGTCAACGATATTGGCCTGGTTAATGGAGGGGGAGATGTTCCGGGTGGATTGCTTGAAGTCCCAGGAATCTGGAAATAAACAGAATGGCTGAGAGATTGTTGATCCAGGGTTCTAAACACAGCTGCGTGTCATAAATACTTTGAAACCAAAAATAATTGGAAAGATGGGGAAGGATGTCAAGAAGCTTCACTTTTGAGCTTTTTGCTCACACCTCTAAAATTATATGCTCCTCAGAGGCTGGAGGTTAAGATAGAGTAACAAGTCAGCCAAAGTAGTTGCACAGAAAAGTTAAGTAATATCAACCAATAAATAATAAATGTATTTATAAATAAATAACAAATATCCATGGCTATCAAACATCAAAAACCTCTGCCAGGCTCTCCCACCTCCTTTACATGGATGAGCTGAAGCTGTAAGGAAAAACATCACCTGAAACAGAATCCCTGCTCAGCAATGTCCATATATACCACCACGAAACTGCAGTGGGATTTGGAATGCTTACCATCAAACGGGGGGAAATCTATAAGGCCCTATGAAAATGAAATCAAGAATCTGGATGAAGACTACAAATATCTGGGTATACTTCAAGCTGACAACATCAGCCACACTGAAGTTCAGAAGAAGGTTAAATATAAATAACATCGTTACAGTGAAGAAGATCTTAAAGTGCAAACTCAGTGGAGGAAATACTATCAAGGCAATTAACATCTGGGTAATTCCTGTCATTAGATACACAGCTGGAATAGTAGACTGGACTCAAGCAGAACTAAAGGCCCTGGATAGGAAGGCCGGAAAAACAATGGCAAGGAATCATTCCCTTCGTTCACACATTAGGGGTTGACAGATTTGTAGATTTTTGTAGATTTTATTGTCATTTATAGGCCGCCCTTTTCCCTGAGGGGACTCAGGGC